CAGGCTTACACCACCGCACCTTCCAGATTTTTGTATTCTTATTAGAGACCAGATTTTGCTGTGTTGGCCCGGCTGGTCTTGAACTCCTGACCTCAAGTGATCCGCCCACCTCGGCCTCCCAAAGTGCTGGAATTCCAGGCCTGAGCCACTGCGCCCAGCCTCTTTAAGGATCTTAAACAGACCTGCTTTCAAGTCCTCTTCAGGTTGCTGTGTTTACCTGGGAAGAATCTTCCTCCATGTGGTGTGGTGACTGTCGCAATGCTGTTTTGTCCTATGCGCTTTGTTTGTTTCTGGAGCTCTTTCCGGCAGGGGGTCTCTCCTTCCTGGACTGGGGGTCGTGTGTCTCTCAATGTGTTGTGGTCCCCTGGCTGTGTCCACCCTGGTCCTCCAGGGCACACAGGGTGAAGGAGGCCTGTCTTGGAGACACTGTGCACACCACCCATGCCGTGCAGGACGGACCCTGGACTCTCATCATGACTTGCTTCTGTCCCTGGCCATGGGCAACCCACAGTAGTAGAGACGGGGTTTCACCACGTTGGCCAGGCTGGTCTCGAACTTCTGACCTGCGGACTGGCCACAAACCCCGGCAAGATTTCCAGCCCCCGCCCATGGGCAGACAGCGCGAGGTTCCCAGTTATTGCTTACATTTTAGTTTGGAGGAGATGGTTTCACTTCTGGTCCATAGAAATGTCCTTTGGTTATTTTCAAATGCTCCTATTCATACATCTCTCGTGTGTGTGTGTGTGTGTGTGTGTGTGTGTGTGTGTGTGTGTGTGTCTGTGTGGTGTTATTGATGTTCTCACTTCAAGTCCATGGAATTGAATAGGGAGGTTTCTGTATAAACTCAAGCATGACCCAGAAAATTGTCTTCGATGCTCCAAGCCGACGTGCTCATCTGTCAAGTGGGGCTGTTATGAGGATGAACGGAGATAGATTCATCAGCAAGTAGCACAGCCGACCACACAGTGAACACCCACGGAGCCCGGCGATTCTGCTTCCCGTTAACGTTGGGAGCAGGACAAGGGTGTCATCCATCCGTCCCGGCAATAGCAGTGCTGGGGAAGTTCCACAAGTGACCTAAGAGGAGGTACAGGTGAAAGTCTAAATAAGGAAACGGCCAGGCATGCAGCTCACACCTGTAACCCCAGCACCTTAGGAGCCTGAGGCGGGTGGACTGCTTGAGCCCAGGAATTGGATACCAGCCTGGGCAACATAGTGAGACCCCGTCTCTATAAACAATTTTTGAAAAGGAGAGGGGAGGGGAGGAAGGCGAAAGGAGGGGAAGGAGGGGAAGGGGGAAGAGGAGAAGAGGGGTAAGGGAGGAAGGAAAGAAAGGAGGAAGGGAGGAAGGGAGGGAAGGAGGAAGGGAGGGAGCGAGGGAGGGAGGGAGGGAGGGACTATCTCCAGTAACCCTCCCTGGAGGTCTGCCTGCGAGAGGACTATGGCAAATGGCTCTTAGGACCGACACCTGTGGGACGTGAGGCCAGGGACTGGCACCTGGGATGTCTGCAGCCTCATGAGTCCCACAGAGAGCTCTGTCCTATGCGCTTTGCTTTTGGAGCCATCTCTTGCAGGGCGTCTCTCCTTCCTGGGTTCGGGGCTGTGTGTCTCTCCATGTGTTGTGGTCCCCCGGCCCCGAAGTGAGCACCGCCACAGAAAGGAGGCTCGCATGGCCTTGGGCGAGGCGGTACCTTCGCTCGAGGACAAGGTTCAGAAGGGACCCCAGCTGACAGCTCTCACCGCCAGCACTCCCAGCAGCAGGGGTCAGGACTTTCAGTTTGGGAAGGAAACCCAGATGGCCCACAGCATCTATGCCAGGGGCAGAAGATCGCAGTTCATTGGAAACTCTGCTGATTCTGGTGGAAACCCGTCAGTCTGTGGAATTAACTGAAAAATCCTTCAAATGACTGCACGCCCAGTGAGGCAGCCAAATAAAAACACAACATTAATCTTTCCTATGTATCAGCAGCAATCTCTTCGTAACTGTGGAGGAAGCCTGTGAGACTCGCCAAAGGATTGCATCGGCAACAGAAAACTACGCCCAAGAAGTCGTCTAGCGACTAGGGTGTTTATCACAGCATTGTTCACTGTGACAAAAATTGTCAGCAAATTTCCAAAGGAAAGGGGTCATTTGGGTCAAGCATGGCCAGTCCAGAGATGGGATATCATGTACTTATAAATCCTATTTTTAAAGGCCATGTCATGACCTTGGCAAGTTCTCATCACATATTAAACATGCAGAATATTGTCCCATTCTGTAAAAAAGAAAAGCAAACAGGACAACATGGCGTGAGGCTGGCTGGGGCTCTGGCTCGGCTTGGCGGCCGGCTGAGATGTGACTGGTTGGCTGACATGGACCTGAGACTCCGGCTGTGGTCTGATGTGTGGTCCTGCTCAACCGCTAAACAGACACCTGGTGGCTTCTCCACGAGGCTCTGGGCGAGGTGCTAGGGACGCAGGTGACTCACAGCAGCCCTGCCCTCTAGGAGCACAGTCTGGTCGGGGAGACAGACAGGCTCAGTAACGGCGTAAGGCCATCACTTACTAGGTGTGAGCCTGGGGGTGCCAGGGCAGGAGCAGAGCCACAGGGCCCCTCACCCAGCCCGGGTGCTCAGGGAGGGTCCTAAGGGGAGTAACGCTGGATCCTTCTTAGCAGAACGATAAGGGCAGGAGAAAGGAGGCAGTTAGCAAGGCCAGCTGCCCAGGCCTGCAGCGGGCAGGGGCGGTGGGGACAGAGACAGGCTGACCTGAGAGTTGCTGAGGACCACGGGGTCTCGGCACCGGAGCAGGTGCAGGAGAGTGGAGGAAGGCAAGGGGGCCACCCTGCCACCAGGGTGGGGATTCCATGGAGAGAGAAGGGGAGGCTCCCCAGAAGGGAGCCATTTAGGGCCACAGGATGGAATTCCACCAGGATGGGCCCATGGGGGCTCAAAGTGAGAGCAAGTGGCAGAGCCAGAGGGTGGAGGCCCAGCTCCAAGTCACAATCTGTTTTCTCGCCTCAAGGAAGCCAGACAGTGGGATGGGGACGGGGCTCAGCTCTCAACCTCCCCTATCAGGCAGAGTCCCTGCAAGGCCAGGTCCTTGTAAACCTCTCAGATCAGCCACGTGGGGACAGACAGGAGGACACTATGCACACTCCAGGCCTTCCCATGGAGGAAGACACTGACTAGGCAACGGGCTAGCCAGAGGGGACCCTGATTTTCACTCCCATTCCCAAACCAGCCAACAGTCACAGAGCAGCAGATGGGAGAAAGCTGAGGGCAAGGCTTTCTGCAGGGTGGAAGGAGAGGCCACCCAGCCCACGACCGCAGAGTTCCTCCACAGAGCCCACGACGCTGTGCCCTGCACACAGCTCACCAAAGCGCTTCTGCCGCTCCAGCCCCTACACCTGGTACCAGGATTTGGGGGAATCTGTAGCATGTTTTGAAGCTCATCTAGTAAGAACAGCTAAGAAAATCTGAAGCAGGAGAGCCCTACTAGATATGAATAGAAATTATAAAACCTAGCCAAACATGGTGCCTCACACTTGTAAGCTCAGCACTTTGGGAGCCCAAGGTAGGTGGATCACCTGAGGTCAGGAGTTCAAGACCAGCCTGGCCAACATGGTGAAGTCCCTTCTCTACTAAAAGCATAAACAGAATTAGCTGGGCGTGGTGGCAGGTGCCTGCAATCCCAGCTACTCGGGGTGCTGAGGCAGGAGGATCACTTGAACCCAAGATGTGGAGGTTGCAGTGAACTGAGATTGCGCCACTGCACTCCAGCCTGAGTGACAGAGACTCCATCTGAAAAAAAAAAAAAAAAGCAATTATAAAACCCAAGTCAGCTAAAATAGGGAAGTACTGGGCAAGATAAACGCATCGACTGAACAGTGGAAAAAGCTGGTCCCACGACAGGTAAGATTTCCCCAGTGCGAAGGAAAGAGCACACAGGACCAAGGAAGAGAAAGAGGTTTTAATGCGCGGACTCAGGGTGTTTGTTTAAATCTTTGAAAGAAAGTCTACTTGGAGCCTCATCTCACATTACATGCCAAATTAATCCCAGAAATGACTGTTTGTGAATCTGGAGGGAAGAAAGGGCTGCGGTGTGGAGCGACGGAAGGAACGGCTGCTGACGCCGGCAGCACTGCTGACCCTTGTCTCTCTACAGCAGCAGTCCTCAAGGTGGGGCAAGACCCTTTCGGGGGTCCACGAGGTAAAACTGCTTTCATAATAATCCCAAAATGTCGTGTGCGTTCTCCGCGTCATCTCCGGGTGTACAGTGGGCTTTGCAGAGCGCCGTGGCGTGCGCTCTTGTGGAGGGCTGAGCATGGCAGGTAGGACACTCCCACTGTCTTCTCTTCAGCCAGACTGACAGACATTTGCCAGAATGTCTTCGCCAATGCCTCTTCTCACTAAATCATGTTTTGTTTGAGAAAAGTTTTTATTTAAAAGTTTGTTTTTATTTTCAAAATGATTATTTTAAAACTTTGTTTAAATGTATAATATGGTAAATATTGATGGATAAACCTATATAAGCAAAAGCTCTTTGAGGTCCTCAATGAGTTCTTCTTATAGTGCAAGGGGACCCTGAGACAAAATGTGTGAGAGCTGCCTGTGGCCCGTGAGCTCTGGAGCGTGGACAGCTCACTGCCCGTGGCCCGTGAGCTCTGGAGCGTGGACAGCTCACTGCCCGTGGCCCGTGAGCTCTGAGTGTGGACAGCTCACTCCCTGTGGCCTGTGAGCTCTGGAGTGCATGCTGCTGGGTCCGTCTGTGGATCCCAACGCGCTACAGATCCATTGGCGTAACTAATTCAACAAACCTTCACTGAGTACCTGCCATATGCCAGGCATTGTTGCAGGTGCTAATGCTACAGCCATGAACAAGGCAGACAACAGATACCTGCCTGCCTCGTGTTCTTGTCTAGCTGACACAGTGCTGTGGAGACTGGCTACGTATGTCAAAATTTCAGTAAGACAAAACACACACACACAAAGTAAACACCCGGAAAGAGCTGCAGCAAATATGACACACACCAGGTTAATATCTTTAATACATACTGAGCTCATACAAATGTATCAGACCCCAGAAGACAGAGCAAAGGACATTGACAATCCACAGAAGAGGAAATAGAATCGCTTCACATGAGAGATGCTCAACCGTGCTGGAAATCGATGAAACGCCAACTAAAACACAAAGCTACTTTTTCATTATCAAATTAGCAAATATTTAGCCAGGTGATAAAATTCCCAATACTGGCAAGATGGATATGTTTATCCTTGCTGGTGGCAGTAAGTGGACACAAATGTTTCCGGAAACCATTTTGTCAATATGCAGTAAAATCCTCAAAGGTTTTCATATTCTTTAATTCAAGAATCCACCTCTGGGAGTCTATCCTAAGAAAATAACTTGACATTGGGAGACAGCCTTGTGCACAAAGGTATTCACCAGCTTACAACTGAAATGTTAGTGACAGCATTAGTATCTGCAACTGGCACCACAGTCCATCTAGTCGATGGGAGAGTACACAGCCACTCCAAAGTAACGTTAGTAATCAGACAGGGAGATGCCCACGACAGCTCAGTGAAAACAGCTGCACAAAACTGTGTCATGACAGAGGACAGCAGCCTGTGTCAAAACAAAATGCAAAGAAACTATAGTTGGGGGAAGAAGCCTGAGACACCAAAATGTGACATTTTACTTCCTTCTTTCCTCTACTTGCAAAAATTGACCTAACATGTGGTTGACATGGATAATGAGAAGACCTAGTAGGTTTGGTGCTTGTGTCTGGAAAGGCCTGAGGCAGGCGAAGTGAGGAGCTGGGCTTCCTCCCATCTCTACCACATCTGTGCTGTGCCGGCTACCACCCCAGCCAACCTCAGGTCCCCGAAGAGACCGGCGGGAGCTATCAGTTCCGCAGGGAAGGCCCTACACCCCAGTCTTCTCCCCACTGCTGGGAGCTTCTTCTGCTGGCCCAACAGGCTGCTCTTGCTTCCCTTCCCCGGGAGCCACACCTGGTGCCTACCTCTCTAAGCCCCAGAACCAGCGCTCTCCAAGCAGAGGTGAGCTGAGCCTTAAGGCTGTGCGTGGCTGCAGACGGAGGTGCCTCTGCTACGATCTCTCCCCTGTTCCACCCAGAACTCTGCCCCCAGTGGGTGGCCGCAGCATGGGTTTTGTCCAATCCCGGGGCTTGTTCCTAAGTGAACCTCGGCACGTGCCCAGCTCAACCCACGTCCCTTCATTCCCCGGCTGGCCGGAACCGCTTGGGTGGTGCCCACCGAAGGCGGCTCTGTCCGCCGTGACAACAGGAGCGCGTGCCCCAGGCTGGTCCTGCCGCACTGCCTGGGTTTTGTTTTCCAACTCCTCCTCACTGCTCATCACATACTAACCTGGGGCCAAACAGGTCTTCGCTGTTTCCTAGAAGTCACCAAAATGCTTTAGGCCTCACTATACTGGGCCAGAGAGTCACCCCTTCACTAACTTCCATCTCCAGGGATTTCCGGGTATGCAGTGAAGCTTACTTAGCAGAGGGGTGTCATGTGGATCAGACAGCAGTCACAGTATAGTCCAAAAAACGTCGGAACCAAGGGAAACAGAATTACCTTCACCTGTACTATTTACTGTCTGTCCCTTTTATAAATCAATACCTGTTTTCTAAAATTCAGAGACATTATAAGCCCCAAATATATACAAAGCATCTCCCTTCTCCCACCTTCTTCAGCCTGATCCCCCGTCACTGAGGTCTGCACCTCTTTAGCTGGGGACGAAGGTGTCTTCCACTAGAGCCACCATGGGGTCCTCACCCCTCCAACGTGCGCTTCTTCCAGGTCCAAGGTGGGGGGCAAGCTCCTGACCCTCTCTCATGTGCTCCATGTTCCAAAGAGCAGGAAGCTATCAAGAAGGTCCTAAGAGCACCCCAGCACACGTCCCGAGCCCACACACATGAGCACCGAGAGACAAAACACAAACCACCACGCCAAACAAAGCTGGAGCAGCTGCTTGGATAGGGCGCCCACAGGCAAAGGACCCGGCTGCAGGTGTGAACGGGGGTGTGGCTGGCCTTTCCCAGGCAGCTCTGCGGTGGGCAGCAGCACAAGCCTGACAAAAACACGGCAGGGCTTTCATCAAGCTACTTGGGTGGAGCCAGGGCTGGCGACACGACAGAGTTCCTGCCGTTTCCACGCTGGGTCTCCTACTCTGGCTGGGCTGGGCCACGTGGAAACCTTCCAGGTGGAAGGTTTTCCCAGGTGCCACTGTCCCCCTTCACTTGGGGGCACATCTCCCTGGCAGGTACTAGTCTTATCAATACAGCTGCTGGCGACAGAACAGAACTGAGCAGAGAGAAAGTGATCTGTCCCCTCCCATTCACGGAATGGTGGCCGTGCTGTGCATCCTCCCTCCGTTCATGCTTAATGAGCACCATGATCCCACGTAGACAGCCTCGGCTGGAGTCCAAGGGAACCGAAAGCCTGTGTTCAGGCAGTTGTCCAGCAGGGCAAGTGGGCTAACGGAGTGGATGGTGAGCGGGCGGCAGGAGTCTGCGGACCCGGCAACCACCCAGTATTCTTGGTCTTGCAAAGCAGTGGTTCTTCAGAATCGCAGTCACTTTTCCCAGCGCCATCAAAACTCTTCAGGAGCGGCCAGGTCCCAGGACCAACCTCTGGGGTCCCGAGACATATGTATGTCTGTGGGTGGGTACGGAGTCTGTCCTTCTGCAACCGAGCCAGAACCCTTCAGACGGGCAGATGAACCCAGGGTAGGAAGCCCTGTGGTCCAGGAGGTCATGTCAACGTGGTTCATTTGGCACTGAAATATGGTGGACCAGCACGGTCCAAAGGGCATGGCCAAACTCAGCCAGAAAAATGATTTCTTGGTCATCTCCCTGTGAGGAGGCATGAGGTCCCTCAGAAGCAGGACATGCATGCCAGTGCTGCACTGTCACCACACTAGGACCACTGCAGTCCACAGCTCTTTGCTTTTACCAATGCCACCAAGACCCTGGCTGGGTTGCCAGAGGCAGACACCCCCCGGTCTAAGTGCTTACAGATGGTTCCCAAGGGAGTGTGTTTTCTCTCAGACAAAGGCGAGACATCTGATTGCCCAGGCATGGGGAGGACATGCCACAGGGTGCCCTTGGAGACCCACAGATGGAGTGTGAGTGGCTGCAGGGGCTGCAGGGAAGGCCACGTGGCACCTGAATGGAGATGGGAACAGGTCTCAAGCTGGGCAAGGCTCACTATCAGTGACATGGGGCAGCGGCAGGGGCAGGAGTGACTGAATGAGCATCAGCAGCTGTGGCACTGCCCATTGAGATCCTGGGGGGCAAAAGGAGTCACTGGGATCCACCCTCAGCCTGCTATGGCCCTCAGGTGTGGGTGTGCAGGAACCTGCAGCCTAAGGGACTTCCCCAGTGGCTGAAAGTCCACCATGACCTTATTTAGCAGACAAGTTCCAGGTTCCCCAAATCCCCGGCCCGATCAGAACACAAGCGGCTGAAGCCAAGCATTACTGGAGCTGCAACTTCTGATGGATTCACCCTTCAGCTGCAACATTGTTCCTTCCCAGTGAGAGCAATGGGGCCTCCTAGACTGCATATTCACGTGCAGAGTGGAACCCGGCCCCCAGAAGTGCCAGAACTACACTCCCAGCAGTGACTGCTCCACCACTGACAGCACGGATGAGGCCCTGCCTGCTGCACTGGGCCCTAGCAGGGCCGGTGGGCATTGGGCAGGACGCCAGACCCCCTCTCCAGGTACACCCATGGAGTCACCACCCCAGCCAGATCCTCTCTCCAGGCACACCCATGGAGCCACCACCCCAGCCAGATCCTCTCTCCAGGCACACCCATCGAGCCACCAGCCTGGCCAACGTGGCTTCTTTCTGTCCAGAGGTCGTCAACCGGAACCAGGTGCGGAGCCGCCAAGGGGGCTTGCAGAGGGCAGAGTAGGAGCCTCCATGAACCAAGTCAGGTGGGGAGGAGTCAGCCCACGTGGTCCATCAGTGTGCAGCCCAGTCCCTGTGTCCAGTAGCAGAGTGGTAGTCACTGAAACAGTCCGGGATGCCAGCAAGAGGGAGGCAAGCATGCAGTGCTCGTTAGGTACAAAGCTAGCACGTAAGAGGAAGCGTGGCAAGGTGGGCAACCAGGGCGCCAGGAGGGATGGAAGGAAGGTCTCCTTGGGGAACAGGTCTGGAGAGGCAAGAAGGGAGGTCTTCACACAGGGGTGATGCTGTCGCATGGGCAATTTCTTCTACACAGCAAAGAGCGTATACTACCTGGGCGGCTGCAGACGCTACCAAGGGGTGGCAGATGCTTAAAGATTCCGCGCTCGGGCAGGCAGGGCTGGCGCTGGACTAGTCCCGTTGGAAGCCGGATGCACTGGGCAAGGCCCCGTGCCCGCGGCAGCCAGCTGGCGGCAGAGCATCTGCCTCTCTCGCACAGCCCTGTTAGAGGCGGAAGTCTTTCTGATTTGGGCGCGCCGCGCGTGTCGGAGCGGAGACTTGTAGGTTCTCCGCAACTCTGCCAGGAACCCCTGGTAGTTGTTGCGCAAGGGGCTGTCAGGCTGCATGTGGGGGATAGCCCACTTCTCCGCCTCCCCAGTCAGTCGAGACACAAGGAAGGCCACGCGCTCGGCCTCACCCGGAAAGCGGGAGGCCTGGAAGATCATGAATCTGTCCATCTGCATCAGGAACCCCGCCAACTGGCCTGGGTCCCCGGAAAAGGGCTCGGGCAGAGAGGTTGGAGGTGTGGTCATAGGTCGAGTCCCGTTAGAAGTAATTGCAGAGATGGGCGGGGTGATCTGCAGAGCCCCCGGGATCCGCGCCCTGGTGCGTAACAAGGTCAACTCTGCCATCACGCTCTCCAGCATGTTGGTGAGATTGGCCTTCTCTGCCCGCAGGGTGGAGGCCTCCCGCCTCAGCGCCGAGTTGGTGAGGCGCAGGGAGGTCAGGGTGTCAATGACGTCATCCATCTGGGCGTTGGGAGACGCTGCCGGGCTTTCAGCTTTGGATGTCTGCGGCTGCACCATGCTGGCCAGAGGTCAGCCACGGGTGAGACCCGCGGGTGGGTCAAGGGGGTGTGGTGACCAGGTGGGTCCCCGTGGAAATGGGGGCAGAGTGGGGTGCACGACGGGAGGTGGGCTGTGAGATCCCCAAGCCCAAGCCGAGGGCCCGAGAGAGGGGCCCACGATGCCCGGCGGGGTCAGGCCCTGGGGACTTCGGCCCCGATCCCACGCGGCTCCTTTACTGCAGGCCTCGCGGGCTAGGGAGCCGGACGGGCGGCTGGACCTGCTCTGGGCCCTGGAGGATTAAGAAAAGATGTTTTTAAGGCTTCGATGGCGACTAGCGGGCAGGGCGGCGAGAGGCGGCGTGGAGGGCCTGCGCGTGGGTGGCGAGGCTGCACAAAGCCCCACGGCGTCCGCCCCGCGCCCGCCCGGGGAAGAACAAAGAGGAGTGCTGCTCGGCGGCCGCGGGCCTGGGGGCCGCCACAGTGGCGGGGTCGGTCTGGGCCAGGCAGCGGGGAGGGGACGCGCGTACCTGGGGTCTCGCGGTTCCTCCGCGGCTCCGTCCGCCGCCGGCCGCGACCAAGATGGCCCGCGCGGGGGACGCGGCCAGGCCGATGAGTCACCGCGCGGCCCGCCGAGAACTGCTTCCCGGTCAGCACAGCCGGGCGACTGCGCTGGCGATGGCGGCGGGCGGCCTCCGGCAGGTGCAGGAACCAGGCCGGGCCGGGGCCGGGGCGGGGCCGGGGTCGCGGCAGAGGGCGGGTCACCGCGCGGTCTTTGTGCGGGCGGGGCCGGCGCAGTGGCGGCGTCGGGTGGGCCTCGCGCGGGCCCTGCTGGTTGCCATGGAGACGTCCCGCTCCCGCGTGTGTGGCGACAGCGGAGGCCCCGCCCCCCGGAAGTGACGCAGTCCCCGCCCCCTCAACGCGGGCATCTGCTGCGCCCTCCCCAGCAGCCAATCAGGGACCACTGTGGTTGCAGCGGCGCCTTCATCAGGGCGGCTCGTGGTGTTCTCCCAGCCATGGGGTTTTCTTTGATAATTTACTTTTCTTCTTCTTATGCCTTTTTTTTTTTTTGAGACGGAGTCTCACCCTGTCGACTAGGCTGGAGTGCAATGGCGTGATCTCCTCTCACTGCAGCCTCCGCCTCCCGGGTTCAAGCAATTCTCCTGCCTCGGCCTCCAGAGTAGCTGGGATTACAGGCGCCTGCTACCATGCCTGGCTAATTTTTCTATCTTTAGTAGAGGTGGGGGTCTCACCATGTTGGCCTGACTGGTCTCAAACTCTTGACCTCAGGTGATCCAACCGCCTTGGCCTCCCAAAGTGCTGGGATTACAGGCGTGAGCCACCGTGCCAGGCCCTTATTGTGATTTGAATATAATTTAATGTAACAAATATAATGTAATGTGACAAATGTTGATGTCAGAGAAGTAAAAAAACCTTTGTACTACTCGGACTTCCTCCACCTAGAGATAGCAAATACTGATTTATGTTTATATACACTCACTTAGTTGCCCAGGCTGGTATGCAGCAGCACCATCATAGCTCCCGCCACCTGGAACCCTCGGCTCAAGTCATCCTCCCAACCTCAGGCTCCCCAGTAGCTGGGACCACAGAGGCCACCACACCTAGCTAAGCAAATAGTAATATTTCCGTAGTGCCATTCAGTCATTTTTCTATGATATGTTCTACAAAAATTAATTTTTTACTTTGTGAATATTTTGTAACCATAACAGCACATGGAATTTTGAGCATTTTCCTACTAAAGATAGTTCAGAAGCATGATTTGGAAATCCTGTACCACAATGTATTTAGCCATACTCTTTTTGCTAGATCCTTATCTTGTTTACCATGCTAAAGTTTTATAAACTACACTTGTATATAAATCCCCACCCTTTTCTCTGCTGGGTTCCCCGGGGTAAATACCAAGGAGTGAAGATACCTGGCTGATATGCTTTGGCTGTGTCTCCACCCAAATCTCATCTTGAGTTGCAACTCCCACAGTTACGTCTTGGGAGGTGACTGAATTATGTGGGCGGGTCTCTCCTTCCCTGTTCTTGTGATAGTGAGTCTCAAGACATCTCATGGTTTTACAAAGGGGAGTTTCCCTGCACAAGCTCTGAGTTTGCTTGCTGCCATTCATGTAAGACCTGACTTGTTCCTCCATGCCTTTCACCTTCTGCCATGATTGTGAGCCTCCCCAGCCATTCGGAACTGTGAATCCAATAAACCTTGTTCTTTTGTAAATTGCCCAGTCTCGGATATGTCTTTATCAGCAGCATGAAAACAGACTAATACACTGGCCGAAGGGTATAAACTGATTGACCTTGCTGAGACGCTTCTGCACAGTCAGTTCCAAGCTGGCATGGCTGGAGAGAAACGATACTGAGAAATAAAAATAAAAATTTAAGCCCCCCCAACCAACTGAACAGACCCCTTGTTGGCCAGGGGACCCCAGAGAAACCTGGGAAGCTGAACTCCTGGCCATGATGGTATGGGAGGTTGGGCACACCTCGATATCTGCCTCCCATTCATAACCGATAACCACCATTAGGCTTTTTTCCCGAAGGGTCAAACAGAAACAAGCCCCTCTGAAAGACTTTAACATTGATATCAACCAACCACCTGACACTGCCCCTCCCTTTCCGTGGGACACAACAACTGACCAGCATTCTCTCCTGATAAGAGACCACCCACAAAGGTGTGGTACTGGCCTGTCTGTGGAGGATGTGTGGTGAAAGTTTTTGTGTCCTCTGCTTCACCTTTTGATGTCAGAGGCTGAAAACTCCACCCTCAGATCATGCTGACACTGCCATTTTTTGTACAGGACCCATGAAGGGGCATGAAGCTCAGTTGCACATGTGCATATGTCTCTTCTCATAAATATTCATGCCTCCCCGTGTAGCTTATTGAACATGTATATTTGGCCCTCGTGTTCAACATAAACTTCTGTCTTACTCTTCCAACCCTTGAAGTGCCTGTTTATGGCTTCTGGCCAGAGGCTACCCTTCCCAGCTTGTCCAAATGGCCACCCTGCAGGCTGCAATCTTTTATGAGAAATAAAACTCTCCTTTCCAGGTTTATGAACCTCATCATTCTTCAGATAACAATACCCGGCATGCCAGTCTTTTGAGAACGCAGTCTTCAAAGAGGCTGAAGCTGGCAACCATCTGCACTCCTTAGGCAGGCCTGGGACAGAGCTAGACTCACTCAGACTTACAGTTTTCACTCAAGAGAATTAGGGAATCAGGATGTTGTTACTGAGCAAATGGTCTCGCTGCCTGATGCACACAGAAGCCAATAACTATAGCAGCAGCTTTCTTTTCTTTTTTAGACAGAGTCTAGCTCTGTATCCCAGGCTGGAGTCCAGTGGCACGATCTCAGCTCTTTGCAACCTCCACCTCCCATGTTCAAACGATTCTTCTGCTTCAGCCTCCCAAGTAGCTGGGACTACAGGTGCGCACCACCACACCTGGCTAATTTTTGTATTTTTAGCAGAGACAGGCTTTCACCATATTGGCCAGGCTGTTCTCGAACTCCTCACTTTGTGATCCACCTGCCTCGGCCTCCCAAAGTGCTGAGATTACAGGCATGAGCCACTGGGCCCAGCTGGCAGCAGCTTTTGAGAAAAGAAAAGCTTTATTGCAAAACTAACTAGCAGGGAAAGCAGGTGGGCTCGAATCTGTCCCTGATTTGTGGTCTGGGGCAAGTTTTAAGGGATCAGATGGCAAGAGAAAGTATTTAGAAATGTTGGCTTTTCGGGGTGTGATTGGAGGGCTTCAAGTTTGACTATATATGGTAATCTATGTTAAAGTAGATTTTAGTCCCAGACCTTCCAAGCCGATGGGCCCCCTTGCTTGCGAATAAGTTCTGGTGTTCAAGTTCTGGTCCTGTCCTAGTCTTCTTGGTTCCAAGGGGAGGAGTCACTGGTTCTGGGTGTTGTTAGAGGTCAAAGCTTTCTCTGTGGCACATGCCCATGCTGCATGACTTGCAGTTTTGGACTCTGTTATACGTAAAGGCAACTTGACATTTTGTTATCAACAAGTTAGACCTGTTATCGAGTTTGAAGCAGAAGCACCACACTCTGAGTTTGTTGAGAGTCCGTTTAATGCCACGTGTTCCAGAGTCGGCTAGTGCGCAAACCTCTCGGCCCAGAACAAAAGGCAGTCACCATTTTTATATCTTCTCATGGGTTAGGGGGCAGAAAGCAAATTGTTACAGAAGGAGCAAAAGCAGATTAGGGCAGTGGGAACCTAGCAATAAAGATTCTATTTAAAGTTGTTTGTCAAGCAGGATGTGGAGTTGGCAGTGACACAGCTGCAGGCACAGGATGTATGGGCCAGTGGGCCCTGTCTCTCAGAAAATAGGCTGCAAAATACCAGGTGCCTCAGGCTGCAAAGTTTCAGGAACAGACGGCCCTATAGCTCAGGGTGGTCAAGATGGAGTCAACAGGACTGCTTATGATGGGGTCACCATAGCCAGGCTAGACCATCTCAGGCCCAGTTTGGGCTGGTCCCACAGTTGCAATGTCAGACCTTGGAAAGGATACTTGTACCCCAGTGTGCCAAAGTGTGCACCCTTTGGGACCAGGTGAAAACTTGCAGAGCTTGAAGCAAGAGGGAAATGAGGGTGGTGGCTCGTGCCTGTAATCCCAGTACTCTGGGAGGCCGAGGCAGATGGATAATGAGGTCAGGATATTGAGACCATCCTGGCCAACATGGTGAAACCCCATCTCTACTGAAATACAAAAAAATTAGCCAGACATGGTGGTACACACCTGTAGTCCCAGCTACTCAGGAGGCTGAGGCAGGGGAATCGCTTGAACCTGGGCAGCGGAAGATGCCGTGAGCCAAGATTGTGCCACTGCACTACAGCCTGGGCGACAGAGCAAGACACCGTCTCAAAAAAAAAAAAAAAAAGGAAATGAGGAAGACTCTGCATCCTTAAACTTCTTCCATGAGACCTTCCAAATCAGATAGCGGTGGGAGCTGACCTTGACTGAGGTCAATGACTTCAAAAGCAGATATGAGCCTGAAGCCTTCCACCCCTCCAGGTTTTTCTAAACACACAGACAAATCCCATCCACTCCTGGGAGTCAGTCCATCTGTCTGTCTGCCCTCAGTGCCATGGTTGCAGCTCCCCAGGCCCCTGGATACTGCGCACATGAGGGAAGTGTCTGCTGCAATTTCAAGTGTGGTTGACACCATAAATCTTAAATTATCAGGTGCATTGAATATAAGGTGCACCCCAATTTCAGAAATGATAACACATTTGAAGAAATTTGTAACTTACCTGTATTTCACCTTACTTCCAAGGGAAAATTAGATGGCAGCCCGTAAAAATAGAGCAAAATAAAAATTAATGGCATTTTTTAGATGAACAGGAGAAGAGTATTGGTCTTCTCATCCAGATGAAGGCATGGCTCATGCTCTGAGGTGCCTGTCTGGTCTGTGAACACAGAACAATAAAATATGCAAACAAAATGCTGAAAGCATATAAGTGAATTCAGAAATAAGATAAACTTCACAATGGTCCAGAAACACAAACTCCTGAGTCCTGACATGGGCCTGCAGGGCTCCGGACCTGAGGCATAATGGGGACCCAAGGCTGGGAACACAGCCAGGCTTCCTAGTTAAAGCCAAGGCATTGGGGAGAGAGGAGTCACCCCTATATTAGAAAAAATGTCTGAAAAATTGGATTGAGTCATTTCATGGGGGTGGGGTGTGAGAGCTGATGTGAAAGTGTGTCTCTGGGGCAAAGAAGGACACAGATGGAGTCTCATGACTCTCGTGCCCCTGGTTTAACAAGTAGACCAAGAGGGTCAGGATTCCAAATCGCCAATAAAATGTATATACACATATATAATATACATATATGTATACAAAATTATGTATATATGTGTATGTATGTATATATATAAAATGTGTGTATGTGTGTGTGTGTGTGTGTATTTCTGTACTGCAGACCAGGCATCAAATGGAGCCACCCCAGACTGCTAGATGGGAGAAGGGAGTACCAAGAGAGAGAAAGAGACAAACTCTTTCAACGCAAAACGAGCCCGAGATTCAAAACTCTGAAGCCCATGAAGACATCTTATGCTAAGAATAACAGTCAAGAAAAATCAATAATTATAATATGAATTAACTCCAGAGGAATTAATTTCTGGGGAGAAGGAAGGAAGGACAATGACTGCTAATGGGTGTAGGGTTTTTCTGGGTGATGAATTGTTCTAGAATTAGTGTTAATGGCTGCACAACATTGTGGCTATGCTAAAAACTACTAAGTTTATTTAAAATGTTTGTTATGTGAATTATATTTTTGAAAAAATCAATGGCCATTTATGATCAAACCTCACAATAAGAACAAAGGGGAACTTCCTCAACTCGATAGGAAGTATCTACAAAAACTCTATAACTAACGTTATACTTAATGGCCAAAGACAAAGTGCTTTCCCCCTAGGATGGAGAACCAGGTAATGATGTCAACTCCTGCTGTTCTCATTCAACATAGTGCTGGCAGTTCTAGCCAATGCAATAAGGCAAGAAAATGAAATAAAATACAAACAGATTGAAAATAAGAAGTAAAACTGTCCCTATTTTCAGAGGCATCATTGTGTATGTAGAAAATCCCAAAGAATCTATACAACAAACAAACAATTAAAAACTTCCTGCAACTAATAAGTTCAGCAAGGTTGTAGGATACAATATGAACATGTAAAAACCCATTGTATTTATATAGGCTAGCAATGAACACATGTACAGAAAAGTTAAAAATACAATATCATGGGCCAGGCGCAGTGGCCCATGCCTGTAATCCCAGCGCCTTGGGAGGCCAAGGTGGGTGGATCACTTGAGGTCAGGAGTACAAGACCACCCTGGCCAGCATGGTGAAACCCAATCTCTAATAAAAATACAAAAAATTCACTTTGCAAATACAGGCATGGTGGCAAACACCTGTAATCCCAGCTACTCAGGAGGCTAAGGCAAGAGAGTCACTTGAACCTGGGAGGTAAAGGTTGCAGTGAGCCAAGATTGCACTATTGTACCCCAGCCTGGGTGACAGAGCGAGACTCCTTCTCAAAAAAAAAAAAAAAAGATTGTTATAGTTGTGGACCTGTAAATACCCACTGGTATTATTCTGGAAACATTTTTTTCTTAAGTATGGTCTATTCTATTCTTACTTCTTTGATAAAATCACTTACAGTCTTACTCAAAGTTGCATTCTGTTGTTACAAATTACATCTGTGGACATTAGCTGACTGTTCTCTGCAGACCATATTTTAATTGAGAAAATCCTCTTCCTATGGGTGCTGAGGTGATAGGTGAGCTCAGAAAAAAACTCTACTTAATGGAGAATATGCTCAGTTCTTTTTTTTTTAATTGAAATGTGTAAATATTCCAGCTCAAATATCTCCGTAGATTCAATCATGCTCCCTTCATCCAGGGTAATTATCTTCATCAACAAATATTTTTATAAGCCAAAACTTATCTCCTACTCCCTGGCCAAAACTGACTATTCTTTCCAATGGTTAATCAAATTTAGATGCTGCAAAAACAGTAGACCCTCTAGATTTCCTTCCATTCCAATACTGAATATAAATTTTTCCAATTAAAACTAAGAATCTCATCAAAAGTTTACCCTTACATGTTGAGATATTCCAAAAACAATTATGGGATTTAAAAATTATACCTCGTACACCATTGGAGATCTCAGCATTTAATTTCTTCATCTCCTCCCTTGCTTTTTTAGGAATGAATTCAATGTTTCTCTCTTGGCATGAATTGTTTCCGATAATTACAATTCACTAGAGCTTCAAAGCTCAAAATTCTTGGCACTTGTTTATTGAACACATTGATTAAAGATTTTCAACAGATTTGAAAACAATGCAACAAAAATTTAGAGGACTTATTTACAAAAAGTTGAGTCCCTCTCCAGAACATTAGGCTGATGTACAAAGGGCTCCCACATTTCGAGGGTCTGACTGATGACTCCAGCAAAGGCAGGACAACTTGGAGGCTGAAGTCTGTTTTGGTAGTCACCACTAACTCTGTCACAATATTTTTCATAGCCCAATTTCTAGAACTGTGTATATAAAAAAAATTTGTAAACATTTGTAACAGCTTCTACTGTTAAAATATTGATAAAATATCAGCAATGCAATGCGGTTATATGCAAATTTTTGGTGCCACACACACAAAAAAAATCAGCAATGGGACAAAGGATCTCTCAGCAAGGCAACTTTACCTCCTGCAGAAAGGGTACTTTCACCAGTAAATCTGCCACAAGAGTACAATGAACAAAGGGAAAGCAGACATATTTATCTTTTATGCATTTGGGGTCGTCCTTACTGCTGTGTCTGATCTCTGTTAGTTGGAGCCAGACCCCACAATCTAAACTAAAACCTGATTGGCTAACAACTTAAAACTTTTCTAAACAGGTAAAAGCAATGGAAAACACAAAGGAAGTCCAAATAAGGAAGGGGCACAGGCTGGGAGCTGGGACATGGCTGTGAGCACGTCCAGCACAGGTATCTTGGTTAAAGTACAGGACATAGAATGTACGATGTGCCTGTGAGCATGTCTGACAGCTACATAGGGTAGGACTTAACAAAGAGTTATTAGCAAAAAGCAAGAAGGCTTTGAAGAAAGTGTTTAAAAAAAACTATTATTTCACTTACCATTATTCTTTAACAAGAAAGGAAACTGTGAAGAGGGACTTTCCTATTTCTTAGAGATGCTTTGAATGCAAATATGAATAACAGGTTCACCTCAACCAATGCCAAGTACACCTCTGCTCTACAGATCACTTAACTCGGTGAGAACTCTGCGTTTTATCAGGGCGCTGTTGCAAAATATCATTCTTATTAAACTCTCCACGTCTACCTGGATTGAGTTTGTCTTTTGTTTTCCTTTTGAGCTTATTTTGCTATTCAAATATTCTTCATCTTTTCTAAATGTTTATCTTCTTAATCTATCAATGGCTGACAGAGGTACACTAAACCTTCCCAATATGTTAGTAAATTTCTCTCTCTGTAATTCTGTCAATGTTTGCTTTTTGTATTTTGATTTATATTATTAGATACATAAAATATAATTATTACATAATCCTAGTTAATTGAACTGTTCATTATGAGCAGCACTTTTAGTCTCTGGTCAATTGGTTTATTTACATTAAAGGCAGTTGGTCTGATATTGATATAGCTTAGCTTTCTTTTAGTAAGTGGCATTCCATTTTTCTATGCCTTTATGTTTTAGGTGTATCCATTGTTAATAGCCTGTTTCTCCCCCAAGATTGAGACTTGCTCTGTCACCCAGGCTGGAGTGCAATGGCGCGATCTCGGCTCACTGCAACCTCCACCTCCCAAGTTCAAGCAATTCTCCTGCCTCAGCCTCCCGAGTAGCTGGGATCACAGGTGTGTACCACCACGCCCGGCTAATTTTTGTGTTTTTAGTGCAGATGGGGTTTCACCACATTGGCCAGGCAGGTCTCAAACTCCTGACTAGATTTTTTTTTTAATTTCAGTATAACAATCTTTATACTTTTAACTGTAGAGTCTTACAAGTTTGCTTCATTTCTATTTACTGTGGTTATAGTTCTATTTGGATGCATTTCCACCAATACATTATGTGCTCCCAAATTGTGCTACCGAGTCTGCTTTTTTCTAACCTTCCTTAACTCCTGTTGGATGAAATTCTTTTTCCTCATTCCAATTTCTCCCTCTATTAATTTGGAAGTTATAGCCTCCATTTTTGTTCCTTTAGTGGCTTCCCTAGTAATTTTAGTAAGGAATTCTGAGATTCCTCATAATCCTTACTCTTTTTCCAAACAACACAGGAACCTTAAGCCCTTGAACTCTGATCAGTCTCTTCCTGCCGTATAACATTGATGAATAATGTAAACACACGTCTTTTAAAACCCCATAAAATGTCGGTTTTCTTTCTCATCAGTTTTGTCCTAATTTACTCACATCCTGAGCACTGTTTTTTGCTCATCATTCTTCCTTATTGATTTGACTTTCTTTTAGAATTCTCTCTAGTGACGATATTTTGAGGCAAATTCCTGCAGATTTTTTTAATGTTTGAAGATGTCTTTATTTTACTTTCAATTTTTTTTCCTTTTTTTCTTTTTTTTAGACACTGGTCACCGAGGCTGGAGTGCAGTGGCGCAATCTCATCTCACTGCAACCTCCACCTCCAGGTTCAGGCAATTCTTGTGCCTCAGCCTCCTGAGTCACTGAGATTACAAGTACCCGCCACCGTGGCTTAGCTAATGTTTTGTATTTTTAGTAGAGACGGTGGTTCACCACGTTGGCCAGGATGGTCTCAAACTCCTGGCCTCAAGTGATCCTCCCACCTTGACCTCCCAAATTGCTGGGATTACAGGCATGAGCCACCACACCTGTTTTTTTTGTTTTTTTTTTTTTTTTTTAAGAAATGAGGTCTCATTTTGTTGCCCAGGCTGACCTTAAATGCCTGGGCTCAAGTGATCCTCCTGCCTTGGCCTCCCAAAGTGCCGGGGTTACAGGTGTCAGACACCACACCCAGCTATACATTCATTCTTAAAAGTAATTTTTGCTAGGTAGAGATTTTCTTTATGCATATTTTCAAACTACCATTTTTGCTAGTGAGAGCCAGCCATTGGTCCCTCCTACTTTTTTTTCCCTCTCCCTCCCCATCTCTCTCTCTCGCTCTCTCTTTCCTTATCCCCCCCCCCATCTCTGTTATTCTTTACCTAAGTGTGAATTTCTTTTACTGATTCCATTTGAAAGTGATTACATGGTCCGATTGTAAGGATTAATGTCTCACATTCATTCTGGAAATTCGTCTAAACATCCCGTATGTTTCTCACACGGACTCCCTCGTCACCTCCTGGAACACAGGGGATACTGAGTCAGTCCTCCTCGGTCCACCCTTCCCAATCTGTGCTCCGTGCCTATTAGCTAGGTCTCTCAATGCCTCTTCAGATTTCCTGCCACTCTGGCCCACTGTGCCATGTTCTGGGTAATTTTTTCAGGTATCGTTTCCAGTTCATTGATTTCTTTTTTTGCTTTCCCCTGCTGTATTGGAGGATGTGACACATTTATTTCCACATCTTTTGCAAAAATCAATAACACATGGATAAAAGACCTAAAGCTATTTACACCTGAACCATGCAGTATTCTATGACGGCTAGTTTAGCCTCGAATTTGCCACTGGTTGTCTAAATAGCCTCTCAATATATCCATATGCAACAGAATTCTAACACCTTTATTTTACTGGTGATAATTACCCTAGAGAACTCTGACATGTCCCAGCATGAACTGGTAACCCTCTACATCCTGGGACCTGTCTTCATGAATCCCCTCTGAGGATTCTCTTTATTTCTCCTCGAGTTGAATGCCCTGCTTCTTTTCCCTCTGCCTTCTTTCTTTTCGTTTATTTCCTCGTTTGGTGGTGAAAACCCCTTAGTGCCTCCTCAGCCGCTGTTGGCCAGGCTGGTCTCAAACTCCTGACCTCAAGTGATCTGCCCACCTCGGCCTCCCAAAGTGCTAGGACTACAGGGATGAGCCGCACACCTGGCCACACACCATCCTTCCTCCCATTTCCCCACACCTGGCTCTTTCTAGCTTTGCTTCCTCCTCTCTAGAAAAGAATGGTTCTTTCTAACTCTGGAGACGCTTGCAGACCTCATGGGCAGAGTGTTCTGTTATAATATTTCCCCTCCACCCACTCACAATAGTCCTTTTGAATAAAGTCTTTCTTTACTACATCCAAATGTGTGTTTCCTCTGCCAGCATAAGCCTCAGGGAGAAGAATCAGGGCCAGACTGCCTCTTAGCCCGGCACCCTTCATCCCTCTCCCAGAGGGTTCTGCGGGGTAACTCAGGGCTTCTCAGATACCCCCCACATCTGTTCTGATTCACCTTTCTCAGAGCTGCTGGGTCAGGGGCTGCGTGTCTCTTCCTGCTTCCCAAATCTTCCTTCCATCACCTCCTGTCCTGTTCTCTTTGTCCTTGTGGATTAACATCTGTAAAAATCCACCGAATGTCAGGCTCGTGGGTTTGAAGAGGGAGGATGAGAAATAGTGTGTGTTTCATGCACCATCTTTGCCAGCCTGATTTCCATCCTAATGTCTGCATCTATTTTTATCTTGTTTACTGTAGGAATAATGTTTCCATAATCCTAAGACACAGATTGTTCAAAGTGTGAATGTTTCTGAAATCAGTGAATTCATCTTACAGGGGCTGTCAAAGACCTGGCCAGTCCCAGGCGTCGGTGGGCATAGAGTGGCCCCACCCCCTGAACTAAGAGGGGTCCTGGGATTTGGGAATTGTCATTTTAAACGTGGGATGAGCAAGTCATCCTACTCAAGGGAGACCGAGCTGCACAGGCCAGAGGGTGTGACCTCAGCCCGCTCAGTGTCCCCTCAACCTCGTCGCTTCAGTTAATTTGTGGACATCGGTACCACCACAGCATTTAGGCTGAAACCTAAGAGTGCACACCTCATCTGACTTTAGAATTGGGTTTCATGGGACAAGATGATGAGATATTAAAGCCAAACATTGGTTTCTCCTCTTGGGTCATTGCAGGCTGCCTGGAGAAGTGACGAGTTGTCCACATGGAAATGAGGAATCTGCAGAGCTGTCCACAGCGTCGGCAGCTTTGTCACAAGTCAGTGCCTGCACTTGGAGAGGGGTTCCCCCTTACCTTTTTTCGTTTTTTGGAGATGGAGTCTTGCTCTGTCGCCAAGGCTGGAGTACAATGGCACGATCTTAGCTCACTGCAATCTCTGCCTCCCGGTTCAAGTGATTCTCCTGCCTCAGCTTCCCTAGTAGCTGGGATTACAGGTGCCCATCACCACGCCCGGCTAATTTTTGTATTTTTAGTAGAGATGGGGTTCCTCCTGACCTCAAGTGATCCATCTGCCTTGGCATCCCAAAGTTCTGGGATTACAGGAGTAAGCCACTGCACACAGTTCCTCCTTACCCTTTGAGGCTTATGTTTGAAACTGCATTGGCATCTGTATCAGTCAGCTACAGGCAGTGATGCTGCGTAAGAAACCACCCCAAACTCAGCAGCTTCAAACAATAATCAAGTCTTCCCTCCCACATGCCTATGGTTAGCTAGGAGTCAGTGAACAAGGATTGGGCCAGGCTTGACCCTAAGCTGCAGGCTGAATCCAGGTGTGCTCCACCTGTGTTCCTTTGCGGCTGCAAGCCAAACCAGCAGCAGCTACCTTAGGCAGCCCTTCTCCTGGGGGGCAGAAGTGCAGTGTGCTGAGGCTACTTCATCCGTGTATTTCGGGTCTTTACAGCAGCAAAGCCACTCATTTCCATTTGACCAAAACAAGTCACACCAATAAGTGGAAGCAATGTAGGTCACATGACCAGGTCCACACGAAGGGGTGAAGAAGTGCCATACCTCATGGGGGTGGGGGCGGGGAGCGAATATCCTGGAACAATAATCTGTCCCAGCATCTTTATACTCACAGCCTGTGTCTCTTAATGGCAGCTGGAAAAGGCTGGGCACCGTGGCTCACACCTGTAATCCCAGCACTTTGGGAAGCTGAGGCAGGTGGATCACCTGAGGTCAGGAGTTCAAGAGCAGCCTGGCCAACATGGTGAAACCCCGTCTCTACTAAAAATACAAAAATTAGCCAGGCATGCTGGTGGGCCCCTGTAATCCCAGCAAACTCTAGAGGCTGAGGCAGGAGAATTGCTTGAACCCAGGAGGTGGAGGTTGCAGTGAGACAAGATCGTGCCCCTCACTCCAGCCTGGGTGAAAGAGTGAAACTCTGTCTCAAAAAACAAAAAGGAAAAAAAAAAACCTTCCTACACTCACCCCACCACTTCCCTTCCTACATCAGATATGTGTTCCCAGACCAACCAATTCTGTGGCTCCCTGGACACTGGCTGGCTGTGCTAGAATTTAACTGAATTCTGAGACTACTTACCTGGCATTAGTGCAGACCTCACCAGTTAAGGGCCAGAACCACAAGACTGTCCTCCACTTCATACACCAGCTGCAAGGATTGAATCCCCAAGTCACCCACATCTCCATTCAACTTGGCTATAAATTGACTCTAAGTCACCGATGACCTCCTCCTCAGTTTCGATGAATTCGCCAGGACTCAGATCTCAGGGAAACGCTTCACCTGGGCTCGCTGGTCTATTACAAAGGATATGATAAAGAATGCAGGTGAACAGCAATGCAGACCTGGGAGGGCCCCGAGCACCGGAGCTGCTGTCACCCTGGAGTTGGGGTGCACCGCCCCCCTGGCACCTGCACGTGTTCACTCACCCAGAAGCTCTCCACACCCTGTAGTTCAGGCTTCATTATGTAGGCAAGTCCGGTAATTAGCTCAATCTCCAGCCCCTCTCCCCTGCCTGGAGGGTGGCAGGTGGAGTTGAAAGCTTCAGATTTCTAATCGTGTCTGGGTCTTTCTAACACTCAACCTCCCCCCGCCCCCGCCAGGAGCCACCAAGCATTACCTCCTTAGAATAAAAGATGCTTCTGTGTCCCCAGAAATTCCAGGGGATTCAGAATCACTGTCAGGAATCAGGGTCACAGACCAAATGTTAGCACAAAAGGTTTTCCCAGCACCCCGTCACGCAGGAGACTGTAAGGGTTTTCAGAGCCCTCGCCCGGAGGCAGGGACAAAGACCAAAATATACACTTCTAATTATATTACAGTATCACAGCAGTCACATGGACCTACTGAAGCACTCCAGGGTTGGGTGTTCAGGATGATGAATGCCTCTGTCTCTGAGTGATGCCTCCACTCCCTCCACCCCGCCGCAATCACTTCTCAGAATACATTTCACATTGGGCCATCCCAACCATATTCTCCCAGTTCTGTAAGCGTCTTCGTGAGCTACAATAATAGACAAAAAGACCAAAAAGTCGTTTTGTGTATAAGACCCAGGCTCATCACACACCTGCCAGCGCATTAAAGGCAGGTGAAATTGCCAAATCTCTCAGAAGAGAGTCTAGCACTTCCGAGGCTTGGAGAAGTTTTGGTGACCAATTTGTGTGTTTAAAAGGAATATCACTCAGGAGACAAACATCCCTCTGTCTACAGCAACTGGCTGCTTTTCAGAAGGAGGCATTTAACTTCCAGTGATAAGTAATTCAATTAAAGGGAAAATGAAACTCTCGCTCCTGTACAAAACCCTGGATTCCTCAATGCCACTCAGATCCATCCTGCCAGCTCCGAGAGCGCAGGGGCAGGCAGATGGCAAGCAGGGTTTGGAAAGTGAAGTGTGACGTTAAGTGAGATTCAGAAGATGTCGTGGGTTCAAATCTTGATAGTGATCACCAAAAAGAAATGGAAAAATCGGGATGGAATTGTATGGACGGAGGTATGCACCTGTCACTGAGGGTTTTTCTTTTTTAATCTTGGAATTATAGTCATGTTTACTAGTGTTCTGGAAAACCATGAAATTAGCGTGAGACGTCAACCACCACCTGCGGGAGTCTGGCCGGCAGACCCTGACTCAACGGCAGATGAATGAATGCACTCTCGCCCCATTACAGTGATACTGGCGTTGGTGCAGACCTCACCAGTTAAGGGCCAGTCCCACAAGACTGTCCTCCACTTCAGACACCAGTTGCAAGTATTGAATCCCCAAGTCACCCACATCTCCATTCAACTTAGCTGTAAATTGACTCTAAGTCACCCCTGGTCTTAATATAAGTAACCCATGGGCTAGGGATGGCCATTCGCTGCTTTCAGAGGGTGACATGCAACCAGCAGACCAGACCCTCTGTCCGTCCACACATTTATTCCATCAGGATTTTACAACAGAGGTTCTAAGTCAACACACGTGTGGATAATTCACATGGTTAAAAGAGCAGTTATGGGATGATAGAAGCTTTCGCTTCTGGGCCCAGAATAGACACAATTAACGGGTAATTCCCCTTTGATCTCCCCTGAGAGGGCCATCCAGCACAAAGTCTACACGAGTAAACAGAGTGGAGGCAAAGGGATGGGGGGTAAACAGACTTAAACTGAGACAGCCTCTGACTGTCTCTCTTTCCTATGCGAATGTGAATGAGGCCGCTGCCTTCAGCATGCCCCGTAAAACCTTTCGGCCTTCCAAAAGGTTTGAGATTATAATCTGTAACTTTTCCTAATAGTTAATATTTTGCCAGCCACCCCAGTGAATCGCAACATTGGTGTTGCCGCCCATGCCTGGGGGCGTCTTAGGGGTGAGGAATGGATTCTGTACCCCACCTCGAATCTAATTTGGGAAGAAAGCTTTGGGTGGGCGATGGGACGGAGAAAAAGCAGACAGTGTGGGCCAGGCGCAGGGGCTCACGCCCGTAATCCCAGCACTTTGAGAGACCACGGAGGGCGGATTGCTTGAGCCCAGTAGTTTGAGACCAGACTGGGCAACACAGGGAGAGCCCTTCTCTGCCAAAACAAAAAGAAATTATTGGGCATGGTGGTCCCAGCTCTCAGGAGGCTGAGGTGGGAGGATGGCTGCAGCCTGGGAAGTGGAGGCTGTGGTGAGCCGTGATGCACCACCGCATCGAGCCTAGGTCACACACTGAGACCCATGCCACTGCCCATGCCCCACCCTCAGGTCCACCGAGTGTCCCCACCTCTGTGCCTTCAGGCTTTTTCTGAAGCTGGAGGCTCACTCAGCCTTCCCGCTGTGGAGAGCCTGGACGTGGATGGGAGTCACTACCCTTCGGGACAAACCTCAACTCATGGGACCGGGGTCAGTGGAGAACGGCCCTGGGTCTTGTTGTCAAGGTGCCTTCCACACAGCCCTAGGGCCCTGGAGGGGCTGGGCCCCCCTGCAGCAGTAACCAGCTCTGGGCGGGCTTCCCTCCTGGCCTGCCTCACGCTGCTTTCTGGGGCTACGACCTGCACCAGCGTCTGCTTCCCCGGGGCCACACAGAGCCACCTCCCTTGTGGGCTTGCAGTGGCATTCGGCGAGTTACACGCTCAGGGCAGGGCAGGAGCCGTGACTGAGGGGACCGCGGTGCGAGGCGAGAGAGGAGGGAAGGGAGGGTCCCCGTTTTTCCTCTAAAGCAGCCGCCTAGGCCCCTGAGCAGCAGCAGGCCTGGAGGAGCTCAGAGCATGTCCTAAGGATGCTGTCGGGATGGTCCAGCCAGGAGATGGGGCTGGGCTCGGGGGCTGCGGTGAAGGTGGGGGGAGACAGGCAGATGGTGGACACTTTGAAGAGGCAAAGTCTTCAAGATTTGGTGATGGACACAGGGAGCTCTGGTGAAGAACCGGAGGTGGGGACCACTTCCCGCGCTGCCCTGAGGCTACCAGCATGGCCGTGACCTCTCAAAGAGAAGACTCCATGTCTGGAGAAAAGTGGGGGAGGTCCCCCAGCCCAGACAGTTCAGGGAATTGTTTTCCCTAGAGATGCATCACAGTCTTTTTTTTGTTTTTTGTTTTTCGTGTTTTTTTTTAGATGTTTTACTCTTGTCACCCAGGCTGGAGTGCAATGGCGTGATCCCAGCTCACTGCAACCTCCTCCTCCTGGATTCCAGCAATTCCCCTGCCTCAGCCTCCTGAGTAGCTGGGACTACAGGCGTGCACCACCAGGCCCAGCTAATTTCTTTTGTATTTTTAGTAGAGACAGGGTTTCACCATGTTGGCCAGGATGGTCTCGAACTCCCGACCTCAGGTGATCTGCCCGCCTCAGCCTCCCAAAGTGCTGGGATTACAGGCATGAGCCACCGAACCCGGCCAATTCATCACGCTTTTTTAAAGCAATTGAAGTGAAGGTGATACTGAAAAACATAATAATGACTGTTTCCTGTGAGTCTGAGAGATTAAGCCTGTATCAAGGTGGCTATGTCCCCAAGGCCAGAGAGATTGAGTTGCAGATTCTTTTCTTTCCCACTCCTCATTTCTACTGAATTAGAAAATCCCATCTCACAATTCCCGACCTTTGACAATGGCAGGCAGCACACAGTGGCTCCTTCTGGAAAAAGACAGGCTGAGATCAGACAAGAGGCAGTCACTTTTGACAGATTCGTTGCAGAAAACAGATTCTGCCGCTGCCAGACTCAGTCAAATGCTGGAGAGGAGGCTGCGAGGAAGATCCCAGGGAACGGGCTCCTCACCGCCTCTTCCCTGCACTCAGCTTTGGACACAGTTCACAGTTTGGTTGCAGCTCGTGGACGTGACCACTTAGATGTGTCTGATCCTCAACTGCTTTTCCCAGCAGTTCTTACTATGATTTGATCTTGAGGCATCTGTGACTTTCCTGGCCTGAAACAATGGCTCCGGCCTTCGTGGTAAACAGACACTAAATAGATCCTCCACCAGCCCCTGGACATCTGGCAGAGACAGCCACTCACTTTATCCGTGTCAAGAAGCAGAGGCTTATGTGTCACCTCGTTTCAAATCTCTTTGTGAGAATGTGGTCCCGCTGTCAATGACCTCCCAGGGAGACTTTGGATGCCTCGGCCGCTGGATGTGGTCCTGCTATCTGTGATTCAGGTTCCTTCTTTTTTTGTTGAGATGGAGTCCCAATCTGTCACCCAGGCTGCAGTGCAGTAGCGCAATCTCAGCTCACAGCAACCCCCGCCTCCCGGGTTCAAGCAATCCTCCCGCTTCAGCCTCCCAAGTAGCTGGGATTACAAGTGTGCACCACCACACCAGGCTAATTTTTGTATTTTTAGTAGAAATGAGATTTCACTATGTTGGCCAGACTGGTCTCGACCTCCTGACCTCAAGTGATCCGCCCCAATGCTGGGATTACAGGCATGAGCCACCATGCCCAGCCAGGGTACGGATTTGAAGGTTGCCCCTGCAGGGAAGTAGATGGTGATGCATCGTCAGAACCAACTCAAACACACCTTTCCAGTCCATACCATGGCTGCCAGAAAATGATCATCCTCATAACTTCACTCTGTGAAAAACCTCTTTTTCTGAAACATGGGCTTTCAAAAGTCAAGGAAGGAAAAGCCGCCTCTCCCTGCGGATTGGGCAGAAGCTGTTTTCCATGGTAGTTAAGCATATGCATGGAGGTAGTTGGCAAGGCGTGCACCTCTCCACTGCTAGCTAGCTGTGTCACTGTGGGCGAAGTAGCCTGCCTCCATGTCCTTCGCTTGTTAGCTACAAAATGTAAATAATAAAGGTATCTCGTCTTAAGTAAATACATAAAGTAGAAGTAAAGGTTGCTGAATGCTTGTAAAGTGCTTTTAGCACTTCCTGCCCTAAGCACGTGCTCACAAAATGCTAGCTGTGATCATGATCACTTTCCTCAAAACCATCGCCCTTCATACAGAACCTGCCAGAACCCGATTCATCCTCTTTGCCGCAGAGGTTTTCCCGGGTGAAGGGAGGTGGCAGCTGGCAGGCACACATCCGAGAACCGCTCTTACACGTGCTCCGTCCGTGCTGTCAGACTGTATCCCAGAGCGCCATTTGATAGAGGATTTCGCCGGCCCTTTAGTTTTCTCCCTGAGCACCACATTTGGCATTAATTTTGGGGTTGCTTTTACCACCTTCCCAGCAGCCACTTCACTTCCTCTGCTTTGGCTACAGAGAGGGCAACTTTGAATGATGTTGCTTTTGTCTCATTTCAGCCTTTATCAGTGAAATTACTCAATTTTGCATGGGCATGCCTGGTTTTGTGCTTGAAATGTGATTTTCTTGCCGGGGGGATCCCCACACTTCCCTTGAAAAAGTGATGAAGCCTTCCTCTGCTTCAGAAGGCTGTTTGACAAAGCTTCACAACAGATAACGAAGTGGCAAGGTCTGAGGGGTGAGTTCACTGCTACGATGAAATCAATTTTTCAGAAACATGGACTTGCTGTGTCTTAACTCAGGCTCTTAACGTTTCGGCTGCTTGTGCGAAGCCATCTTTCAGGAGGTTCTCCTGCCAACCGCAACACAGACACCTCTCACTTGGTTTATGATTGCGAGCTCATTCTGCGTTCTCGTCATCATCCCACTGTCTTAATCACACCGTTGTGCATTAATGGATCAATTCTGAGCCGCTGAAGTGTTTCTGCAAATTAGGAGCACAACACAGTGAA